CAGAATGCACAACCCTCTCCATCTGCAAGCAGGGGTTTGAGCCCAGCAGTACCAGGGCTTCTTGGAAAGCTCCTCTGGGGTTCCCCAATCTCCTCAGAGGTTTCAGTATTCTGAATCAATGGTTCCTTCCTTGGAACAACATCAGCATCTCCAGGCTACAGGTACACATCATAAAGAGAACGCCACACTACACTTTAGCGCTCTCTGGAGGCTAAACAGTGATAGTACAGCTGACTATTAACAGAATCTAGAACTACCTATGAGGTAAGCCTTCAGGCACACTTCTGAGAAATCTCTAGACCAGTCATCCTCAACCTGTGGGTTGCAACTCCTTGACAAACCTCTGTCTCCAACAATATTTATATTACGATTCAAAACACCAGCAAAATTACAGCTATATAAAAATATGTATGAAGTAGCAACAAAAATAACTTTATGGTTGGGGGTCACTACAACATAAGGAACTGTATCAAAGGGTCGCAGCATTAGGAAGGTTGAGAAGCATTGCTCTAGCCAAGTGTGTGAGGCATTAATATAGATTAAGCTGGGGCAAGAGCCATCCTAAAAATAGGCGGCACCATTCCCTGGGCTTAAATTCTGCACTGAATAAAAAGGAAGCTAGCTGACAAGCAGCGTTCCCCCGCACTATGCTTCCTACGTTAATTCAAGTTCTTGCTGCCATAACTTCCCTGTCCCAAGGGACTGTATTTGAACTGGGAGAACCAAAATTAATCCTTCCTTCCTCAAGAGACTTCTCAGGGTGTTTTGACATAAACTGAGACTGAGAAGTGGGGCCGCTGCTGTCAGACCCTGTGGTTTGTAGATCATGGGAACTTGTTCGATTGTAGGAAGGGAAGGAATTTAGAACTGTGGACAGGAAAAGCGATTGAGAACTGCCAGTAGAGCCCAAAGGGCTTACATCTGTGTGCTAGTCTACAAAAATGACTTCATCCCGCCATGTCCTGAGAACTGCGGTGAAACTGAATGTAAAGTCAGTGGACAAAGACAGGGGAGATGTCAGGCTGGTGATGAGGATGCGCCGCACTGTTAGAGCAATCAGCACCACTGAGAAGCACCTGTCAAAGCACTGGATTACAATGTCTCCCCAGGCTAGCACCAATTAGGCGTGGCAAGGACACCAGGCTACATTGTATCTTAGCAGCAGAACTTGACAGCACCATCTATGTGGGTCCTGGATTTTCAGACATGAAAGATGCAAGATTGAGGGGTACAAGGAGTCATATCCATGGTTTCAGAGAACAGATAAAGCCAGGCAATGTGTGGCAGGGTAGGTATGGGGTCACTGCATGAAGCTGTGAAGGTAAAGCCTAAATTGTAACTGAGATCCCAGGATACTGGAGCTACCAGGACCATGAGATTAATGCTGTTCTCAGATTTGAAAATGGTGTCTTCCCAGTGGTGGTGGCGCACGCCTTTAATCCCAGCACTCGGAAGGCAGAGACAGGTGGACCTCTGTGAGTTCAAGGTCAACCTAGTATAGAATGAGTTCCAGGATAGACAGGGCTACACAAAGAAACCCTGTCTTGAAGAAGCAAACGATCAGGCTAAAATGACATTCTTTTTATTTGTTCAGTTTTGAGACAAGGTTTCTCTGTGTAGCCATGGCTACCCTGGAATTCCCTCTGCTCCCATGTGCTGGGATTAATGGCATGCGCCACCATTGCCCTGCAAAAGTCTTTATTATATTTTTATTTATTTTTTTGTGCATGGAGGCATATGTGGAGAGAACAACTTGTGGGTTTGGGTTCTCTCCTTCCTTCATGGGGGCTTGGAGACTGAACTCAGCTTGTCAGGGTTGGCAGTAAGTACCTTTACCTGTTGAGACATTTGCTGGTGCAGAAACTGACATCCTTAAAACCTACATATTAACTTTTCCCCTAGACTGTTTGTTACCTCTCCAAGGTGGCCTCACCTACCTGCCATTGCCTTGGAGGAAATTTACTCAGACAAGTGCTCACACATGTTTCTGGCAGCACCAGGGCCTCTTTTTTTTTTTTTTTTTTTTTTTTTTTTTTTTTTTTTTTTTTCTGATTTTCGAGACAGGGTTTCTCCATAGCTTTTGGTTCCTGTCCTGGAACTAGCTCTTCTAGAGCAGGCTGGCCTTGAACTCACAGAGATCCGCCTGCCTCTGCCTCCCAAGTGCTGGGATTAAAGACGTGCGCCACCACCGCCCGGCCAGCACCAGGGCCTCTTAAAGATGGATGTGGTCAGAAACCTGCATCACTGACCTGTAGCTCCCATCTGATGTTAACCCAGCCTCAGCACACTTCCTCTGGTACTTTATTTAGAAGTGAACAATCAGATCAGGCATGGCAGAACATACCTTTCAACTCAGCATTTGGGAGGCAAAGGCAGATGAGTTCAAAGCTAGTCTGGTCTCCACAGTAAATTTATAACCTAATCTCCCACCTCTCACCTCCCTTGTGTTCCCACCATTCCTTCTTTTACACGAGCCCCTCCTCCACTTTACAGTGACCTAATAGTAATTACCAATCCCGCTGTGGTTTTTCTCTCTCCACTCACACCCAGAGGAACTAATACACTAACTAGCACACAAAATGCAATTGGTGGCCCTTCAGTTCCCCCCAAACTAGTATTTAAGGAAATGTGTTTTGCAGTCAACTAACACTCCACTTTAAAGATCTTTGGGACACAAAGGCAAAATTTATAGGCATACAAGAATAGGAATTGCATGTCAAATGAACAGGAAATATTTTCAATAAAATTATGGAAGAAAAATCTCCCAACTCTAGATGAAGTGATGCCCAAGGAGATACAAGAGGCCCACAGGACACCAAATGGACAGGACCAGAAAAGAAACTCTGTGTCATATCAAAATAATTTAAAAAACTAAACACACAGAACAGAGTGTAGAGAAAGTTACAACAAAGAACAAATTCATATACAAGTATGCTCAGTGCTTAAGAACACTAGATGCTGCTGCGGTGGTGGTGCACACCTTTAATTCCAGCACTCAGGAGGAAGAGGCAGGTAGATCTCTAAATTCTAAGCCAGCCTGGTCTACAGAGCTAGTTCTGGGACAGCCAAGAACCATACAGAGAAACCATCTTGAAAAACCAAAAGGAGAAAAAGAATACTAGGATGCTCTTTAAGACCAAGGTTCAATTTCCAGCATCCATATATGATGGCTAAAAACTGTCTAACTCCAGACCTAGGGGATCCTATACCCTCTTCTGGCCTCCTCAGGCACCAGACCTGCAAGTGGACAGACATGTATGCAGGCAAAACACTTTTACACATAAAATTTAAAAAGAAAAAGACATTCTAATCCTTAGAACCTGTAACTGTGAGTGCATTTGAAGGAAGGGTCTCTCCCCTCGACTGAAGAATGGATAAGGAAATGTGATACATTTACACAATGGAGTACTACACAGCAGAAAAAAACATCTTGAATTTTGCAGGAATATGAATGGAGCTAGAAAATACCGTTTTGAGTGAGGTAACCCCAGACCCAGAAAGACAATTATCAAGTGGTTTTTAAACATAAAGCAACAACAACAACAAAAACAGCCTACAAGTCACAATTCCAGAGAACCTAGACAACAATGAGGACACTAAGAGAGAATACATGGATCTAATTTACATGGAAAGTAGAAAAAGACAAGATCTCCGGAGTAAATTGGGAGCATGGGGACCACAGGAGAAAGGCAAGGAGGGGGGCAGAGAAAAATATAGAGCTCAATAAAATTCAATAAAAGGAAAAAGAAAGAAGGGTCTCTGCAAATATAACTGAGTTCAGAACTGTGTAAATAAGATCATCCCAGATCATGGGCTGTAAACACTCGGACAAAGGTCCTTCTAAGAGAAGCATTCAAGAAACTTGATAGGCAGAGGAAGCATGGAAGACAAAGGTTGGCACTGAGTCGATAATAATGAATGCCCAGGGTTGCTGGCAGTCATCACAAGCAAAAGAGCTACAGATCCCCACCCTACACACACAGACTTAGGAGGGAGTGAACACCCTGACCTTGAACCATGACTCTAAAACTAACAATTTCTGTTAAATTACCTGGTCCCCAGTAATTCCTATGGCAGCTATAAGAAATAAACACAGGACACCACAATTTTGATTTTACTTGTTTTAAAATTTCAACAATACACACATACAAAGGTTCATTCTTCCAAGAAAGAAGCAAAATCCCCAAGGCCTTGCAGAGGAACTGGATCCATGAGCTGTAATGGTGGTTTCATCCCAGACTTTCCAACACAGTGGCCTCCGTGGCTCCTATGCCTCCCTTCCTCCTCTTCTACTGGGTCTCATGTCATCCAGATGGCTTCTGTTACCTCACACTAATTCGGTTCTCAGGATTCCATGTAGACATGTCTTATCCTGTCCTGACGCGCTTCCTCAGAGGTCTCCTCCTAACTGCATGATGGATCGCATCACAGCTCTCCTTGTAAACTCTAGTGCATTTGCAGGGTCTTGACAACCACGCTACATAAACCCAGGGTCCCCAGGCATGAACAGAAATGTGGGTACAGAGAAGGCGTAAGTTGGAAGAGACTGGGGCACAGACTTAGAATCTTGAGGCACCTCCCCGTGTGCTATTGGATAGGCCCATCTGAAAGAGTTAGAGGAAGGGCAGGCAGGTTGTTGGTGTCACCATGTCTCCTGGGAAAGAGGAAGGATGCACCTGCTTGGCAGAGGGACCCTGTTAAACTGACAAGTTAGGCTGGCACTGGAATGGGGTCAGCTTGCTGCTGGTGAAAAAGACTTACCCTAAACCACCGAGATAAGTGATCACAGGGCCCAACTCCCAAAACAACCACGCATTTTCCAGTGGGGAGTCTGTACCATCCCCAGCCTGAGAGGGGCTGCTTTTACTCCACATAAAACGAGGCCTGAGAACACTCCACAGTCATTAGGTCTTCAACTCACAGACACTCTGTGGGCTTCATCTTTCAGATTTGGCCTGACAAGAGAGTAGGCCTACTGTGACCAGTGAGAGGCACTTGGGGAGCATGACGACAGAGGATTTATTTTGGATCCTTCCAGCCCCCACGTGGGAATAGCAAATCTGTCTGTGACAAGTCCCTGCCCCAGAAGTCCAAGTCCGCATCCTGACTGGCCAGTAGCTCACAGGTTACTCAGCGCTCAGGAAGACCCTCTTGCGGGCAGTGTTGGTGTAGGGGTGCCAGCGCCACTCCACGTCTGCCGTGGCCTCCTGCTCCAGTGTGCCCAGGCGAATCATGTATACTAGGGTCAGGGGAAAAAGATGTCATCCCATGCTCAACCAAGCCCCTCCTTAACCTCCCCCCAGGCATAAACCAAAGCTCCAAACTCACACTTGAGCTCAAACCGAGGCCCAACCTCAGTCAGCTCCACATTGCGGTGGTCTGTCTTCTTGTAGACATGGTGCCTGGGGAGAGAGCAAGCAGAGATAGGGAAGTGCCTCAGTAGGGCTGTGGGTCAGCCAAAAGGCTACGAAGGTCATGGGGTCCCAGATACAGCCCAGAGACGCACCGGAAGGAAATGTAGTCATCCTGGTTTGCAAAGGTGATGACCCGATGGCTGTCATCTTTGGGCACAGGGAACAGGTAACGAAGGATATCAGACACCTGGGGCACAGGAAGGGACAGTCACAAGTGGCTGGCCTGACCCTTACTCCCCACCCCCACCACTACCCCAAGGCTCCCGTACTTACCCGCTTGCCCAACCGTGAGGTGAAGCCGTGAGTGATGAGGTGAGGCTTGGCCTCTGACATGGTGCCCAGGTCAGGGATGTCATGCCGCATAACCACATTGCACAGTGTGAAGTACGCCGTGGGACCGAAGGGCAGATGGCTGACAATGAGCCCCACTGTAGGGTACAGGCTGTCAGACACTCTGCCACGAGAACAGCCCCAGCTCCCTTCCCCTGTGGCAGGCCTTACCAGGTGTGCCTCGGTGCTCATGGACAACCAACAGGTCGGTGACCCCATTGGCTTTGCAAGCCCGCACCAGTGCTCCAACCTCATGCCGACCGCGGTTCATGCGCTGGGCACCTGGGAACACCAGTTTCAGTTCCTGCCATAGACCAATGTCAAATTAGAATCGGGGCCACTGACCATGGGCATCCCCTACTCCCCGCCCCCTAGTACCTTTGCAAACATCTTCAGGCGAGAACTGGGGTCTCGGGAGGTAGTGATCATGATCTTAGGATCCTCCACCCCAGCCCATCGATATTCATCATCTACATGGCTGGTCACACCTGTCGGGAGAGCAAGAGACAAGAAAATGCTGAGCCTGCTCAAGAGAATCTTCACGGATGGAAATGCACCTCTAGTGGCCAGGAGGGCAATTACCCTTGGATACCCAGCACAGCTAAGCTAGGAAGTGTTCTGTGGTGGCAGAGTTCTGAACTGCTAGAACAAGAGGTGGGGGACTCCCTTTCCTCACAACAAATACCTATAATCTCTGTGGTTCCTTCCCTGCTTAGTAAATAATGCAGTGTCGAGACACGAGGGTGCAGTGCTGAGGACAGGGCTTTGCCCAGCAGACACTCCTGTGAGGGGGAGTGAGCTAAAAACAGGGCTCTACCCCAGCAGACACTCCTATGAGGGGAGTGAGCTAAGGACAGGGCTCTACCCCAGCAGACACTCCTGTGAGGGGAGTGAGCTAAGGACAGGGCTCTGCCCTAGCAGAGGCTCCAGAGAGGAGTGAGCTAAGGACAGGGTTCTGCCCCAGCAGACACTCCCATGAGGGGGAGTGAGCAAAGAGCAAAAGCTACTGTGCTCATCGTTTTGTAAACGAAACTAAAAGCCCCCATTTAGGGAGAGCCCTGTGATACCACACAGACGAACAAGAGAGAAGTGGGGGACAGGCACAGAAACACCCAGACACTTCCATCCATCAGGTGGGCAACTGCCCAGTGTGTCTGAAGAGGACAAGGAGTCCAGTGCGCAGAGAAGTTGGTTCAGTGTGGAAGAGGGCTGCACAGCACAGTTCTACCTTCGCCGCCAGCATCATCGAACTCCAGGGACCCCTGTAAGGCTAGAGCCTCCCGGCGCAGGTCAGAGGGAATCAGCTGGTTTTCTATAAGGAAAAGACAGGGAGCTGAGTGAGACACAAGCAGGGCCCATAAATTTATAAGACACTGTGGTTTACTAGCCTGCACAAAGTTGATGGGAAAGCACTCTACTTCTTTCTTAACGGAGTCAGCACAGAAATAGAGGAGCAGAGAAGCAATAAACCAGCTATGTTACTTACTTCACTTGAGAAATGCTCTGGAGATGTGCATGGCTTTCGCTTTTAACTGTTGTGATTACAAGGCATGCCACCACACTAGTTACCAACTTCTCACCTAATTGTCAGCTTATGGCACCTGCGGAGCTAATTTTTATGTATTATTTTTATAACCAGACAAAAATTTAAAGAAGTTTTGGTAACTCAACGATGGGCATTTTGTTTGCAGGTCCAGGACCCTGGTCCTGAGGAACATTATAAAACAAGCAAACAAACAAACAAACAAAAAACAGACTGTTCTTAATGTAGGAAGAAAGACCCGTGACCCCAAAGTCTTCACACAAGGACACTAAGCTGGGTGTGGAGGTTCATGCCTTTGATTCCAGGGCTTAGGAGACAGAGGCAGATGGATCTCTGTGAGTTTGATGCTAGCCTGGTCTACACAGTGAATACAGGCCAGCCAAGGCTACAAAGTAAGACCTTGTTCCAAAAACAATTAACTGCAAAACAGGATAAAAAGAACACTGCTAGTCTTGATGCACAGAATACTTCAAGGTGAACGGCCCATTGTGGGTCAGATGTTTCTTCTGGAGATAAAGTGGGATAGTTGGGGGCTAAGCTGTGATGTGACAGTCTGGAAAATAAAACACATTTGAGCACCCCATCCACAGGCCCGGTTCTGCTCTCCAGCATGTGGAAGTGGAGGGGAGGACCACAGCAACAGCACTCCTTCCAGCTACCAATCGCAAACAGGCCCCATCTGCCACAGGACAAAAACTCCCCAGTCACTCACAAGGAGGAATGTCTAGCCATTCCTTTTGGATCTTAGAAACAACTAGAAACACTGAGCACTCTCACCCAAACAAATAAAGCGGCCAAACACATATATTCTAAAATCTTTAGACTTAAAACTAAATAGGTATAATGTACGCACAAATAATAGCTTAAAAAATGGTTTCTTTCTTTTCTTTTCTTTTCTTTTTTTTTTTTTTTTTTTTTTTTGGGTAGCCCCAGGCTGTTCCAGAATTTGCTCTGTAGACCAGGCAGGCCTTGAACTCAGAGATCCACCTGCCTCTGCCTCCCTAGTGCTGGAATTAAAGGCATGTACCACCACCACCCAGCAAAACCAAATCAAACAACAAAATGGTTTCTTTTAATGCAATATTTAATATAGTGATTACTACAAATGTTAATATATCGATCGTTTTCCCTTTTATATTTTTGTGTTTATGTGTCTGTCTGAGTTTACATGAACACATGTGAGGGTGGCTGCTGAGGCCAGAAGACACTGGATCTCCTGGAGCTGGGGTTATAGGCAGTTGTGAGCCACTTCATGTGGGTACTGGAAAATGAATTTGGGTTCTCTGTAACAGCAGTAAGTGCTCTTAACCCTTGAGTCATCTTTTCTGTCACCTCGTTTTTTTTTTTTTTTTTTTTAAAGTTCTGAAGATGGGTCACAGACACAGCACTTCTCATGCAGGCCAAGCTGATCTGGAATTCATGCTGTCGGAGAAAGCACTGTCTCTATGTCCCCAGTTCGGGATTACAGGCAGAGGCTACTAGGCCCAGTTTAGTTAGGCTGGTATCATGTGAAGCAGGCAGTCTAACAACTGAGGTACAATCCTGGCCCTGACATTATGCTTCCTAACTCAAGCAAGCTTTACGTAACACATACATACTTTATAGTCATAAAATGTACCGGGGTGATGAACAATAGATAGGAGACATAAACTCCCTGGATACAGAACCAATGAAATAGGGATAAATATGACATTTCTAATTAAGCTCTGTGATAGAGGAATTTCATTTAATGGGACAAAAATGGAAACGTGGATAAAAGCAAGGCAAAGTTTTAAACTTCTAACTCGAAAAACGAGATATTCTGTAAGCGAAACTAACAACCAATTGGTAAACATGAAGACACTGCAGCACAAATGGCCATACCACCATATGATGGAGCCATTCCGAAACGAGCGAGAGGTAGTACCTAACAGGCAAAGAACCAAAAGATGTTCGGCCACACTACCACAAATACGCCAAGTTCAAACGCGTTTACAGCAGTGCATAGTATGCTCTAGCAAGGACTGGTACCCCGCCAGGATAGGGAGGAGGGCTCACCTTCAAGAGCACGCTTGACTCGCTCTTTCTTCTCCTGAACCGACCGCTGCGCATCCTCCCGGGCCTTGCGGTACAGGTACTCCCGGCGCAGGCGAGCCTCCCGACGGAGCTAGAGAACAGACACGGTCGCTTTCCATTCCCGACCACCGAGGACCCCAACCCAGCCCTCCACGAGTCCCCCTCCACCACCACCATCAAGACAAACCCCGAACTCCAAACATCCTACCATGATGAGCGCCGCTCCCACACGAGTCTCTGATCTTTAGGCGCCGCCGGCACCACGCATCGCTCACTTCCGCCCTCAACCAGGAAGGCCGAGAGGCTTCACTCGAATGGGCTGCCGTCCGGAGTGCCCCATGTTAAGATGGCGAACGGCGGAGGGCATCGCAAGGGTATTGGTCAGCCAGGCAGCCAATCAAGTCCCTGGATTCGGAATGTCACGTGCTTTAAGACAGCGCAGATGGACGAGCTTGCCTGAGGCTTCACTGAGCGATCAAACAGCCGGTTCGCGAAGAGAAGAAGCGGAAAACTAGGCTGGTGGCTTCCTGGGACTAATCTTAAGGCCCGACGTTTCATAGCCATCTGACTCGGGAAATAGTCCGCGTCCCGGTTCCCGGAGCACCTTAGCCGTTGATGCGGGCCACCCGGAGATCGTCGCCTTTGGCTTCCGGGTCACGACTAGGAACGCCCTCTAAAGGCGGATCTCAGACGCCGATTGGCTGCTATGCAAGTGGGCGGTGACTAGGCGGCTTGGAAGGAGGTGGTTTAGCTCCTTCGTGTCCCGAGAGGGGCTGAGCCATGGAGATCTCGGCCCTGCGAGAGGAGCTGGACTCGATGTTCCTGCAGCTGCTCAGCGACCTGGAGGAGCTAGAGGCGAAACGGGCGGCGCTGAACGCCCGGGTGGAGGAGGTGGTCCACGGGGAATGGAGGGAGGGACCGACGGCGGGCACAGGGAGGGAAACCGAGTCTCAAGTCTCTCCTGCCTCCCCTAGGGTTGGCTCTCGCTTGCCAAGGCTCGGTATGCCATGGGCGCCAAGTCGGTAGGGCCCCTGCAGTATGCCTCGCGTATGGACCCTCAGGTCTGCGTGCGCGCCAGGTGAGGCACCCTCGATGGAGAGTGGGTGGGCAGGACGTAGGCCTTTGTGGCCAGAGAGATCCATCTTCCCTTCTCCTTCAGCGAGGCCCAGGATGGACCCCAGACCTTCAGGGTGATCAAAGCTGACTCCCAGACCCCCGAGGAATTGGGGCCCCGCGAAGCGTGTGAGTTCTCTTTCCTCCTGTCAGCCCAAACTCACTGAACATTTAGATGACTTAGTTCGGGATCTGGTTAATGGAGCGCGTCTAAGCTGGAGACTGGACTGTTTGAGAAGCTTTTCCTTATACTATGATAGGGAGTTACTCGATGGGACGTTTTATAGTGCGAGAGGTTCTGCAGTCAGGAAGTCTCATCGGCTGAACGGAAAATGTGCATCTCTGTATCTACGTGTTCCTTGGAAATAAACCTCTAATCCCAGTTAGTCATTCCTGAGACAAAGAATGGGGAATTTCAGGGTCTTCCAGAACATTTAGGGAAAACGGGCAAGGTCAGTTACCGGCAAACAGAATCCTCTATTCTGGAGTCAGTAGACAAGTCACCTGATTACAAAGGGAAGGCTAGTACTGTTTCCAGACCCAGACACACATAAAGGTTGGGGGGAAATTTTTTTGTTCTTTTATCTTTCTTTTTTTTTTTGGTTTTTCAAGACATGGTTTCTCTGTGTAAAAACCTTAGCTGTCCTAGGACTTACTCTGTAGACCAGGTTGGCCTTGAATTTACAGCGATCCTCCTGCCTCTGCCTCCCGAGTGCTGGGATTAAAGATGTACCCACCACCGCCCGGCTTGTTGGGGGAATTTTCAAACCTTCAGTATTTTCCAGAACCATGAACTAGATTAATGAGTTCTTTGTGGTCACGAGGATTGTATGGTCTCCAACTTTTCTTTCTCCAGCTCTGCGTAGGCGCAAGGGCCCTACTAAGACCCAAGAGTCAGGGGCCTCAGTGGTCCCTCAAGATCCCTTGAACTGGTTTGGGATCTTGGTTCCTCACAGTCTTCGGCAAGCCCAGGCCAGCTTCCGGGATGGTAAGTGAACCCTTTTGGCTTTGTAGCCATGTACTGAATTCCAGCCCACTATCAATAGGGAGCCCTTGTACGCTAGCCCCGCGGGAAGACTCTGCGGGTTTTCACTAGCAAACTGTCTTGCACGTCTGCTGGGGGTTTTCCCCCAAAGCACCCCCTGCTGTTCTCAGCATTCTAGGTTCACATTTGTCAACTGCTAAGGGATATAATAGCAACAGGGATCAAATGGAATATTTATCCTGTACAGGAGAAAGACAATGTATAACTAGATAGGCAAACAAATATACTTTTATTGTAGTTCCAGGCTCTGAAAGTCAAGAGAAAAGTAACTTGGGAGGGAGTGGCCTGGGGAGCTAGTTTATGAAGGAAGGGCCTCTCTGAGGAGACGAGGGAAGAACTTTGTGAGGCATCTGGAGGAACTATGTTCTAGCTAAAGAGACCAACTAGGCCCTAACTGGTCTAGTTACTAGGGCAGAAGCCCTGGATGGGTGGGTGGGTCGGGTATCTGGCAGAGGTGGCCAGAGGGCTGGAATAGAGTCAGCAGAGCAGGAATACCAGGAGCTGGGACCAGGAAGCCAGACCTTAGTGAGGTTCTTTGGGTGGGTGCAGAATCAGGATGAATCAGTAGGGCCAACAGAGTAACAAGAATCCTTGGGATGCTGAGTGGGGACAGACTGGAGAGCAGAGAGCGGAAGTGGAAGCAGGTGCCAGGATGGGCCAGTCACAGGATGGAAGTGGGGTAAACAGTGGGAACATGTTTTGGGAATGGAAGTTCCCAGTGTTTGCTAACGGCTTAGACGCAGGAGTGAGGGAAATAAGAGCCCTCTCAGAACGTTGGGAGGCGAGAGCTGTTTCACCTGTGGTGGTGGGCAGGCTTCCAGGCGGCCGCTGAGGGAAAGCTGAGTGGCGATTGTGTGTTAGTTCTTGTGGTTCAGCACCTGCATCTGCACTGGAGGGAGGTTTGGAAGTCCAGTGTAGAGTGCTGATGTTTAATTTCCCAGGCTGTTGACAACGATGCACAGAAACTTGAGGTGAGATCAGTTGAGGGCCAGGGAGTACCTAAGAAGACACTGGAGAATAGGGCGCACAGACCGGGGATCTTAGAATCTAGGAATTTTGAGAAAGCATTTCCTGGAGGATTAGGGAGAATCCTGCTGCCCTGAGGATAAAGACAGGACTGCCTGGCCTACTGGGTGAGGTCAAGTAACAGAGAGCAGAGGGGGAGTGCAGCCTAGAGGTGGATCGAGGGTGGTTCAGGATCAGGTGCAAAGGGAGGGCAGAGGGAGAGCAGCTTAGAGCAGTGGTAGAGTTTGCTGGACGGAGGAAATGGGGCCGTGAGGTTTGTGGTCTGTGAGGTCCTCATCCCTGGCCAGCATGGTAGATCAGAGAGGTGTCTGTCTTTGTTTTAGAGGGCATGCTGGTTTAGCACAGGTGAGGTGCTGAGGAGGTGAGGGTGTGGGTCAAGTGATGTCACACCTGGAACGTTTAGACTCTAGAGGCCAGAGCAGTCTGAGACTCACAGTCCCTGGGGGGATGGGGGACAGGGTCCATGTGTCATGCCGTGGTGACATTCTTCTTCTCTCCCCAGGCCTTCAGCTGGCTGCAGATATAGCCAGCCTCCAGACCCGAATCACCTGGGGTCGGGATCAGCTCCGGGGCCTCCAGAAAAGACTGAAGGAGTTGGACCCTGGGCCTGCCTGACCTGAATCTACTTCCGGAGGCACTGAGCACAGTCTTCTTGGATGCCCTGCCTTACTCTTTCTTTCATAATAGCCCCTGCCTCAGCTAATGCCCCTCCTCAAAATGTCCTTAGTCTGCGTCGTTTCCAGCTCTGTGAATTACGAAGTTGAGTTCTGAAGTTTGCTGAGGCAAGCGGAGCAGTGTCGAAAGTGGCTTGTAGGAAACCACTTCCAGGTCCACGTTCTCATAGAGCCTCCCGCCCTTTGGGCAAGTTAGGGAACAAGCGAATAACCTTGCACGGGCCAAGTGGGACGAGGGAACACTGTGTGCATGGTAATGGGAGAAAAGGAGTCTGGGAACTTAGGCCAGATCAGGACAATGTCATTCAATAGAAATACCTCTGGCTGGGCATGGTAGTGCATACCGGCTACTAGTCCCAGCAACTCTAGAGGCTGAGGCAGGAGGGTCACTTACGCCCTGCAGCTAGAGGCTAGCCTGGGCAACAGACCTTTTCTTTAAAATAGTATAAGACAATGCGCGCATACACACACACACACACCAGAGTAGACTGTCAGGGAAGAGGGAGTATTCTATTATGAAAGGAAAAGAACCAAAAAACTTTGACATTCTTTCAGGGGAATTGAAGGGACCTTCCCACTTGTGTTGATATAGAATTGAAGTCCAGCCTCTTTGCTTGCTGAAATTGTATTCCTCCGTCTGGAACTGTACCCAACTGCACTTTTCTACTGAGCTAACTTGAGCAGTGTCTGGAGACTTGTTGGGGAGGGAGGTTCACTGTTTATGGGGTGTAAATATTTCTTCCCAATTTGTCGATTTTGCTTATATTGTTTTTCTACTTCTTAATTGTAAAAATATGTAAAACTACAGAAAATGTGAATAAAGAAAGTGAAAGGTACAGTAACTGTCACCAAGCTCTTTGGTTTCTTAAGTTGATTGTATTTTATTTATGAGCGTTTTGCCAGCGTGTGAGCCTGTGCACCATGTGGGTTGCCTTATACCCTCGAAGAAGAGGGGAATGGATCTCCCGAAACTTAAGTTACAGATGGTTGTGAGCAGCCTCATGGGTGCTGGGAAACCCTGGGTCCTCCTGAAGAGCCGCCAGGGACTGCTCTTAACCACTGAACCATCACTCCAGACTCTCTTCAATCAGTTTTTAAGGAAAGTTGAGTCTCTCTGAGTTTTGGATTTGGGATTGTATTAATGCAATAATAAGGGAATTGTAATTGCTGTGGTTTCGCTGGGTTGTTCAGTGAATCGGGCACCCAGCTTTTCTGTCAAAGTTCAGGCTGTAAGTTTTTCTGGCTGAGTAAATGAAAATTATTCATCAGGTTGTTACCAATTTTTGATAAGCAGTAAAAAGACTAGCTTAAGATTACAAGCCTGTGAGAGAAGTGAGCACTTCCCTTCCAGATTCCCTGGTGCCTGTATGCTTGGGGCTATTGTGACTAAAGAGAACACGGCCCCCAGCCCTTTAGTTTTTCGTTTGAGAAGGGCACAGTGTGTAAACCAGGAGGGGTGGGACCTGACAGGATTATAACCAGTTTTTGCCTTCCGAGTTTTG